TTTGTGATGCAGCTCTCACTAGTCATCCATTGGCAGCTGTCTCTACCTTAATGGGCTACCACAACTCAGTCTTTTAGGGTAACCTTTTGACATCCATTTGGCAGCTTCAGATTGCGCAGTGAGGTGAACCGGCCTCGTTAGGAAACAGCTCATATAAGCACTTTCCGCTTTGTGAACTTTACTAACTCTCCATCTACTTCCAGCTGTATTCAGTTATATCAAATCAGTCCTATATGGAGGACTTTTTACTATACAGCGTAAGAGGGCCAAATTCCATGGCACGTTCCATGAAATACTCTTCCTTCCCACCTCCCTAGACCAGAGAAAGGTCACACATACTAATGTTTGTCAATTATTCTCAGGGAAGAGTATTCTCCCCCAAAGACTCAACTCCCTTTTGCAGACCTCAGCTCCCATAATGCTGTGCAGATGGTCCCACTCTGAACCTCATTCACTTACATCAGGGGTGGGCAAAATGCAGCCCACGGGCTGGATGCAGCCCACCAGGCCATTCTATCCGGCCCAAGGGGCCCTAAAATATTTAGAAAATTACTACTTATCTGCCCCTGGCTGCCTGTCATGCGGTCCTTGATGACTTGCCAAACTCAGTAAAGTGGCCCTCCGCCCAAAATAATTACCCACCCCGACTTACATGCACATGGAAGCAGAGGAAGGCGAATTCAGATGCGGTGCTGTCCTCCAGTGAAGCATCTCATATTTCTAGATGTAAACTGGAGATGCGAGCTTCAGCTCCTCAACCTCCCAGGTGTGAGGCAAGGAAGTCTGATCCAACTCTGTCCACTTCATGGGGACAAGAGGCAGCTGGAAGCAGACAAGAGGCATATGGCCAACTCTCCCGTCAGAAGAGGATAAATGAGACCTCCGTGTTATTTTTTCCAGCTGCCTGTGCACAGGAAGGCACTGCTACATGAATTATCCTCCTGGCATTTTTCAGAGTTTGCTACCTGATCCCGGGGCTAGGAAAGGCACAAGCACACAAAGTTACTGAGAGGTAACCCAGCATGGGGCTTTAACACAGGTCAGGTGCTGGGGCATAACTGCCTGCAAACACGCTTTTACCTGACAATGGTTGTGTTCAGGCCAGGGCAAGTGAGCTTTCATTTACAGCAAGGTAAGCACTGAGCAGGCTGATGGCAGCTCCCTGGAGCTGCAGGTGCACCATGGAGTCCCACCCTTCTTAACCTTGTGGAAACCTGCTTTCACGTTGGGTGCGAGGACATGAACATCTTCAGTTCAAGGGGTGAAGGCCGGAGCAAATTTGAGAGCATGCTGGAATACAACTTAGCTCTTCAGGGATGGCTTCAATGCAAAGGGCACTTAGGTGCTCATCACCGAATTAGCCTAACCAAAGCATGAGCAGCTGCACATGTTGCGGGACCTGCACTCATGCTGGTTTTGCTATGGCTTCAGAGAGATCGCCGTTTTTCTGCTGTACTTAGCTGAGCCATTCGGATTCTTTCCCAGTGAAAGATCTGTACTACCCAATTCCTCCCCTCAAGGCATTGGGAGAAGGTACCGAAGGACTCTCAGCACTCACATAGGTTGGGTTAGCAGGCACTCTCACTACACAATGAGTGGTTACCAGCCTGCACGACAGCCTCATTTATACTTTAACCTTATGCTCCATGACAGGCCAGTCAGCCTGAGCTGAAAGCACCAAACTCGGGTCAGAGGCCTGCGAACATAGATGAGAACCAACCTGGGGCGATACCCAAGGAAGACTCCAGGTTAACGCAGCAGTGAAGACACTGGTGGAGGGACTTCCTGCGTCTATGCACCACTAGAACAGTGGAGACGAAACGTTAACAGGCCTTTCACGTATTGTAAGTGCAGGGTCTTACGCCATGTAGCACATTCCCCTTGGTCCACCAGAACTCAAAGAGCACCGTGAGAGGTATAACCATTTTAATCAAGTAGACATTTTAGCATTAAGGATTGCTGAGCGTCGTTTGTTCCGACTCCTGTGAAGGGCAGTTTGCGCGTGCTGCATTTCTCATCTGCCCGAATACTTAGGCAACGAATGCAGAAACCCCACATCAAGCCACCTATGTTTAAAATAAGAGACCACATACTCAGTTTCACCAGTGTCTCTTTACTAGGTTGTCATTTTTAATTCCAACCTGTACCTCAATGCTCACAGGACTATTTTTAAATACAGTGAAGAGCTCAAAATAAAGTGTCAGCCACCAGTGTTGCAGCTCTTGTTAAGTTCTTCACAATTTCAGAAGAAAAGTTCTATAAACATTGTGGAGAGTACGTACAGAAGGTACAGAGTACCATTTTATGTATAAAAGTGCACTGCAGTCATACGTTAGCCAGAAAAGCTAACCTTGATTTAACAATTCCACACAATGTACTTAAGACTACTTGAAGTAGATTCTTTAAATCAAACAACTGCCTCCTTGCTTTGGTTATGAACTGTGTTCTCAAGGCTCCAATATCACTGACTTGGGGAGGGAGGGGGGCCCAAAGAAACAAAAACAGAATAATGAAAAACAGAGTTGAAATGTTGAACTGTGTTCTGAAATGGTTTAAAGCTACCTGCATCTATCTCCTATCGAGCTGTCATGTATTCAGATCCAACAGCCAAACAGTGTCACTATAATAATGCAGCTAATAAACGGAGCATCCATTCTCTCACGCCTTATGCATACAAGCCCAGTTTAATAAACAGTCCTCGAAGGGCTTTCAAAACCACATCAGTTGGTCACTCACAATAATGACAGTAAAGCCAATAAAGCAAATGTTGGCCGTGGAAGAATCAGTTGAAAAAAAAGCATTGGTATTCAAAGGCCAAATATCAACTACTATTGAAACTTAAATATCCCTGTA